TGCCCTCCACGTAGGTGAGGAAGGGCTCGGTCTCCACCTCCACGGCCACCTGCGTGGTGCCCGTGCCGTTGGCCGTGGCCACCGTCTCGGTCTTGTTGATGACGCGGTTGAAGGCCTCGTGCGTCTCCAGGCAGAAGGTGGTGATGGAGATGAGGATGAAGAAGAGCGAGGCGAAGGCCACGTACTGGATTGGGGGGGGAAAGGGGGGGGTTAAGGGAGGGGGAGACCCCCAAATGTGATCGGGGGGAGACCCCAAAATGTGATCGGGGGAGGCCCTGAATATGATTGGAGTGAGACCCCAAATACACTCAGGGGGAGACCCCAAATATGATCGGGGGAGATCCCAAAATACTCAGGGCTGAGACCTTAAATATGATTGGGGGAGACCCCAAATACACTCAGGGGGAGACCCCAAATATGATCAGGGGGAGACCCCAAATACACTCAGGGAGAGACCCCAAATATGATCAGGGGGAGACCCCAAATACACTCAGGGGGAGACCCCAAAATACTCAGGAGGAGACCCCAAAATACTCAGGGGGAGACCCCAAAATACTCGAGGGTCAGACCTTAAATATGCTTTGGGGGAGACCCCAAAATACTCAGGGGGGAAACTCCAAATATGATTGAGGTGAGACCCCAAATATGATTGGGGTGAGACCCCAAATATGATCAGAGTGAGACCCCAAAATACTCAGGGGGTGAGACCCCAAATGTCCTTGGGGTGAGACCCCAAAATACCCAGGGGGTGAGACCCCAAATATGATCAGGGGGAGACCCTGAATGTGATCGGGGGGAGACCCCAAAATACCCAGGAGGATACCCCAAATATGCTCTGGGGGAGACCCCAAAATATGATCAGGGGGTGAGACCCCAAATCCACCAAAAAACACCCCTAAAATCCACCAACCCCCCCTCAAACCCCTCCAAAATCCACCAAAAAAAACCCTAAAATCCACTAAACCCCCCTCTAACCCCTCCAAAATCCACCAAAAAAAACCCTAAAATCCCCCAAACCCCCCTAAAACCCCCCAAACTCCCCTCAAAGTGGGGAGGGGTCACACAGGGTTGG